ACTGGCGGTGGATGGTAAACGTCAGTAGTTGTAAACAAACCATCAGTAGTTGAGTGCCCAGTGCAGAAGCTGGTCCTGCTGCTGGAAAAAAACAGTGGAAAAAAGGATGGAAAAACCTAAAACATGGATCTGTCTGCCTCTCTGCCAGATGAATTTAATGCCTTCTACGCACGGTTTGAGGATAGCAACACCTTCCCTGCAGTGAAACTGCCAGCAGATAATAACAGCTGTTCTCTTACCTTCTCCTTGCCTGACGTGTCCAGATCACTTAGAGCGGTCAACCCACGCAAAGCACTTGGTCCTGATGGTGTTTATGGCCATGTCCTCAGATCGTGTGCCAACCAGCTAGCGGAGGTGCTTACAGACATCTTCAATCTCTCCCTTAGACTGTCTGTGATTCCCACCTGCTTTAAGAAAACCACCATCGTCCCTGTCCCTAAGAAGTCTTTTGTCACCTGCCTGAATGACTACCGACCTGTGGCACTAACCTCTATCATCATGAAGTGTTTCGAGCGGCTCATTAAAGACCACATCTGTTCCCTTCCTGCCAGACACCATGGACCCTCTCCAGTTTGCATATAGGAAAAACTGATTGACTGATGACACCATTGCTCTAACCGTTCACAATGCCCACACACACTTGGACAAGAAAAACACTTATGTGCGGACGCTGTTTATTGATTACAGTTCTGCGTTTAACACCATCATCCCATCAAAACTTATCACAAAGCTCAGCGATTTAGTACTGAACTCTCATCTCTGCAACTGGATAATGGACTTTCTGACTTGCAGACCCCAAGTGGTGAGAATTGGTAACCATTTCTCATCCACACTGCACAGGACACAGGCTCTGCGTTCTCAGCCCCCTCCTATACTCTCTGTTCACACACGACTGTACTGCCAAACACAGTTCCAATATCATCTTTAAATTTGCTGACGACACATCAATCCTGGGTCTCATCACAAATGGAGATGAGACGGCCTACAGAGATGAGGTGAGAGCACTATCACAGTGGTGCAATGACAACAACCTCTGCCTCAATGTCAGCAAAACCAAAGAGATGATCAAGGACTACAGGAGGACACAGGAGGTCAGCCACGCCCCCTTATATATCAACGGATCTGCAGTAGAAAGAGTTAAGAGCATCAAGTTCCTTGGTGTGCACCTCTCCGATGACCTATCCTGGTTTCTGCACACCACATCAGTAGTTAAATCTGCACGCCGGCGGCTCTGGTCTCCCTCCCAATATCCTTACAAACTTTTACAGATGTACCATTGAGAGCATCCTGACGGGATGCCTTACTGTATGGTATGGCAGCTGCTCATTCCTCGACCGCAAGGCCCTTCAGAGAGTTGTGAAAATAGCTGAAGTCATCATCGGCAACAAACTTCCATCCCTACAGGACATCTTTCATCGGCGATGTCTGAGGAAGGCCCAAAAAATCTCAACTGACCCTAGTCCCCAGCACACAGTCTGTTTATCAAACTGCCATCAGGCAGGTGATACCGGAGCATTCAGTCCAGAACCAGCAGGCTGAAAAACAGCTTCTACCTGCAGGTTATCAGAACCCTTAATAAACTGACAAGGTGTCTCTAAAATTGCACTATTATCCCCCTTCATATCATATCAAAGACTATAAAAACATCATGTCTTTTTGATTCTTGCATACTTTGCACAACTACATTACATACCTCAAAGCAAAGTCTCCGCCTCAGCCTTGCACCTGCGCACTTTTTATTTGTTACTTTTATTCTTATTGTACTGTATTGCATTGTGAATCTGTTGTAATCATTATTCTACATTTCTGTTACTTAAACTTCTGTCTTGCTTGCCCCTTTATTATTTATTTCTGTTGTTATTTTTGTACTGCTGTAGATTGCCTAAGCCTTACAAAAAGCATTTCAATGTACATTCTGTCACTGACACTTGTACATATGACAAATAAATCTTGAAACTTGAAACTATGGTGGCTGGTGTCTCTATTTTCCCATTCCGTATAATATAATCGGCAATAAATAAGGCAATTTCATAAGGTTTCTCAGTGGGTGCATCACTCAGTGAGGAGAACCTGTTTAATGTTTTCATCGGAAAAGAGCGGTGTTTTGTCCCGTGACTATGCCGCCTCACAGTCACCCAATAGCTCTGCTGCGAGAGCTCTGCCACCGGAGCTGAACAATGTACGGAACTCACTAAGCTAGTCACATCCAAAGCCGTATCTAAGACCTTCGCTTTCTTACTATCCTCGATTAAAGTTTAGATGCATGTCTCTAGTTCTGAAATCTGCTCTGTCAGCCTAACTATTTCCCTTCATTTATCACGTGAATCCTCACCACTGACAGAGAAGGCTACACTAAACGTGGCAAGCAGTGCAAGTGACAATAACAGAAGAAGCCATGAATCACCGTGTTTGTTTGAATGATTCCGATTTACCAGTTGTTTGATGAACTCGTAAAAGATGGAGTGAGAGAGAGACAAGAATCGGCAGGTGCAAATTACAAGCTAACAGGCTAATGAAATGCTAACGCGTTGTGTTAATGGTTTAGATTAAAAAGCGAACAATGTCAAATTAGTTTGATAGATAATATCAGAAATATGGTGATAATCAAATTATATTTTAGCAGTTTAAACAACAGAGAGTGATAGTAAGATTCCAACAGAAAAACAAAGATATGCCATGTGAATTTTCTGCCTTTGTGGAGTGTTTCAAATTAGCCACTTATGAAGTTCCATTTCAGTTAAGATGCTGTCTTAGAAGGTAGCTGCTTAAGCCCTCGATATACTTAGAGTGAAATCGAAAAATGACCTGGGGGCATATTACAGAAAGATCCTAACTTTAAAATCTTATCTTATCTGTTTGGTAACCATGGTAATTTCAGTTAGGACCACATTTAGGACAAAACCTATTACAGAACAGCATTTCCTAAGTGTGATATCTTATCTTAACTACAGATAGGAAGGGAGTATTACAGAAACCTCCTAACTTGACAAAAAACTCTAAAAACTGTCTTAACTTTAGGACAACCCCACAGCTGTCCTAACTTCAAAATTATTTGAAAGCTAACGGAAAAAACGCTTACAAGTGCACTGTCCAACAATGGTATTACATTTATTAATAATTGAAAATGAAGAACGGAGATGTTTAATGGTAGAAAGACTCTTGGAGGACCCTGAAGATGTGTTACATTTTGATGACAAAACACTTATAAGTAATTACAGACTGCCGCGCAACATCTTACAGTTAGCACAGGAACTGCAACCAGCATTACAGAGACCATCAAAGCGTCACGGAGCATTACCAGTTATAGTGCAAGTGACTAATGCCTTACGGTTTTTTGCAAAAGGCGATTTTCAAAGTGAGGTAGCTTCTATTATTTTGTTTACCTCATCAGCAGCTCACGCAGTGTTGGTTGCTTGGTTATAGACCTGAGAGTGGATTGTCGAAAAAGTTGGTTTGGAGTTCGTTTTGGGAGTTTGAAACAGCTTACCAAAGCAAACTTTCCAGAAAACTTAAAAAAGAACTACCATTGATCCAGCAATTATATAATAGGTAGGTGTGTACAGGGGCTCCGCCCTCTTTGACATGGAGTCCGTTGAGGTTTGACGTCCGCGAGTCAAGTCACCTTTATTTATATAGCACTTTTAACAATACAGATTGTGTCAAAGCAACTGAACAGCATTAATTAGGAAAATAGTGTGTCAATAATGCAAAATGACAATAGTAAACACTCATTTTTCAGTTAAAGGCAGTTCATCATTGAATTCAGTGATGTCATCATCCAGCTCAGTTCAGTTTAAATAGTATATTTGCAATCA